GTAGGAAATAGGATGGGCGGCAACAAGCTGACAATTGGTAGTATAGCAATAGAGATTGAGATTAAACCAATTGAAGAGTGGTTGCTTTCATATTGATGTAGAATTGATTCTTGCAATCACTAATTTAGGTTATGCATGGTTTGAAGGAAAATGTAGAGAAAAGAAGAAAAAATCTTTATAAACCTTATATTGGTTTAGATACATAGTCTTAGAGAAAATGAGGAATTATTAATGGTGCGTGACACTAAATACAAAAGAAAAAAATTAAAAGCTAGAAGATTAAAAAAAAAAAAAAAAAAAGAGGTGAAGAGGAATGACGAAGACTCAATAGAACAAGAAAGAAGAAGAAATGAAAGTTAAAAATGAAAAGGGATAGAGGTATATAAGGATCATTCATTTATATATAATATACAACTCTAACATGCTGACCCTATCATTAGATATTTAGATCTTTATGTACATGTAAGAGGAGGCTCGGGTTCGGGTTGTGTTGGGTTGCCTGAGGGGTTAACCTAACACAACCCGAAATTAAGTTGGTTCCAACCTTAATTAACTCTGACGTAATTATTGTCAGCCCCACCCAACCCCTAGGCATAGTGTAAATGAGATAAAGGCTGTGTTTGGTTGCAGTGCAGATGTAAAGCCATGGTAGTGTAAATGATTTCAATGCAAATTATGATTTTTTTTATTTTAAAATTTATCTTATTTTATTTGATTGCAGTACAAATGAAGTAATATAAGAATTGAAATAGAATAAAATAAAATCCAAAACAAAATTAAACCAGAATTTGCATTATTTTCATTTGCATTCTCAAACATTTGTATTAATGCAAATAAAATTGCACAGCAACCAAGCACAGAGTACAAATTTTGTATCAGCAAGTTTCTATTTAATTCATATTTTCACTACAAATAAACACAGCTTCATGGAATGAGTGAAGGTAAACTCTTTGTAGAAAAATAACTTTAGAGGGTTGTTCATCAATACCATGTTGGGAATGCATGTACCTAGCCATTAGCATTGTATTAAGGTTTGATTTTTCTATTGATTATTTATCAATAAATGGAGTGCTTGAAGGACAATAGACCAACTAAATATTTTCTTCAGCTAACTGATGGAGAAAGGTTGTGAGAGAAGAGAATCTATAAAGGGGGTTGGATGGGAATAGTTTTTTACTTGATTCTGTTTCTGGGTTGGGTGTGGTGGGTTGTTTGGGCATTGGTTTCTGGTCTAAATGTGGGGGTATCATTTGGGTGTTGCAGATTTGTATTTTCTTCTCACGCTTTTCCTCTTAAGAGTAAAGGATACTTCATTTCGATTTTAAATTGAAAACATACTCTGGCCATTTGCACTGCTAAAGATCTACACACACCATTGCTTTTACATGTGTCCATATATATATGACAGTCCGAATCCTAATTTTGGTCCAACCAATTGTAACGTCTAACTTAATGGAGTAAATATGATTACAAAGTCTTGGTGGTACTGCAGTGGTCCTAATTAAAAAAGAATTGAACCAGGTGGGACTCAGGGGCGCAAGAAGGTGGAGAGTGAAACAAAAGAGGAAGCATATAGCACTATCATGTGCCTTGGTCCCTTAAAGAAAGGGAGGGAGACAACGAGTCATTGCAAAAACTCAGTTTGGAAAGGGTATAAAATACATACAAAATACAGGGTTTTAAACTCTACATCCTTCCAAACTGAGCCTATGTATCAACTTTAATTTCGGAATAGGATGTAATCAATGTCATGGGTAAGGGTGTCAATGAATCAGTTTTGAGTTGGAATGGAATCGTTTAAATCAAAATTAATTTGGATGGACCAATAAGGTATATTGAATTGGACCAATCCAGATTTAGTGGTCCAAAGCATTTGTTGGATTGGATTTTACTTGGTCCATCCATAATGAATTTATATTGGATTGAATCAGATCGAACCAATATCCAATCCATATATTAATAGAAGATAAGAACACAGGTATCAACAAATTAGATTTGGGTTGGAATCAATCTAAATTAAAACCAATTTGAACAAATTGGATGGTCTAAATATTGAATTGGACTGGTCCAAAATTGTCTAGAGTATTCTTTGGACTGAATTGGGTCAATCGACACCACTAGTCATGGGAAATGAAATTAATAAAATTAATAAATTTCTGCTTTCCCATTTTCTGAAACCAATTGGAACATGCTCCATCTAACAATCAATAGATGGTGATATTTAGATGTTAAAATCCTCCTAAATCACATTAGTACTAAAATAATAACTGAATTATATAGAGAAGACTCGATATTATGAGCCAAGAGCATCGGATTAATTATTTAATAAAACCAGAGAGTTCAAATGTAGGAATCCCTTCTCCCCTATTTATTGAAAATAAAGCAAAAAATACAAAATTTTCCCCCATGAAAACAAATATACCAGTTAATGGTGTTTGGCTTAGGCTCAGCTTTGCACAGAGTGGTAGGACAGAGGTCTCTTATCAGGAAAATTTTACAGAGAACTGAAATGGAGGGTCAAAAGTTGGGGGTCTAAGAGTTTTTAATTCCATGTCGTGTATTGTCGCCCCACCATGAATGATCTAGCCTGAACTCAAGCCAAAGTATCAAAAGAATGATCCCATGTGAAGAAAAATTAGCAGAGTTTCTTCATTCAATAAGTAAAGCCTATGGAAAGAAGGATTTATTGATGATGGTAGAGGGAGGTGTTCTTTTGAAACCAATCAACCAAAATGGAGCTCCCATTCCCTTTCATGTATGGCAATGCACAGGGAATTTTCAAGGACATGTCACATCCATTGGCTTGCCTAATAAATGTACAAGAACAAGAGCCATTAACCACTGTTGGACCCAGCTATCTGTGGCCTTGGGAGGGATTTAATTAGATATGGGCCTAACTTTTGGCATTATTCTACATAGTGACTGCTCTCAAACTCCAATCCATGTTCTCATGCATGTTGGCCTTAGATTTTATATAGTATTTTACCTCTCAATAAATGTACATAAATTCAAAATGTAATTGACAAATGAAAAGGTGAAAAAAAGGAAGCTTAATGTGAGTTTTATCTGGTTGTTGAAGAATGAAATTTATGAAGACTAAATGTACCTACTAGCTTAATTGGTAAAGTCTTGAAGCTGTGAATAAAAAGGAATTTCATAGAAAAAATGGGCAAATCTTCATACATAATTCATAAAATTTGATGATGGTCATTAGAGAATTCTATTTTAAGAATTCAATGAGATATGGAAGATTGATCAGTGTTGGAAATGTAATGAAGCTTTTGTTTGAAATCTCTCTCTCTCTCTTTCTCCAAATAACAAAATGACATTTGGGTAACAAAGCTCAAATAGCTGAACTAAAACTTTAACTGGGTTAATTTGTTACAGATCAACAGAAAAGGATCCCTTATTCATATGGCCATCTCATCATCAACATGATTGCAACTGAAATGATAATTAATTGGGTTGAGTTTGTTTTGTAGACACAAATATAGTTATCTATGATAGGTTGTAATAGATTAGTGCGTTCATTCTGACTTTCACTTCTCTTGAAGCTTCACCAAATTGGAGTGATGATTAATGATAAGTTGATAATACAGTGGTTTCATTCTCTCTTTCACTTTTCCTGAAGCTTCTCCAAGTTAGAGTGATTTACACCGTTATCAATATGTGATAGTGATACCCTCCTGCTCATATTCTCTTCCTCTTCTGAGTTTTAATATCAAGAAATTCGTTCCAACAGAAAAGAAGGTATAGACAATGATGTTATTGTCATGGATATTTTTAGTCACCCTACAACAATGGATGAGCCCCCACTCTCACCAGTTACCACCGACCACTACCACTTCTGGTTCACCATGGCTCCTTTTGGATAATAAGATTACGCCACCTATCTGTCATGAGAAGTCTAAGATTCCCTTCGACATTGCCACGTGGCTATTTCATCCATCTTCAAAACTCAAAAGGAGCATTCCCTTCCTTTTCGAGGAGCAAAAGTTTTTCGGGTAACTGTCGGCCTATGAATGATGTCGTTGGCCATTTATACTCTAGAGTAGTGTGGAAGGCGATGCATGAACCTCAGGTTGCATACTTGCATGGGCTTTATCCTGATCTTGGGCCCACAAGTTATCAGAGATTGAGACCCAACCACTTTCACGGGCTCTGATTTTTAGGGTTGGCATCGTTTTTCATGCATCAAACGGTTGACATTGCGCTCCTATGGGGGGATTGTGGGTGGGCTTCATGCTTTGTCCGGACAATATGGTGAGCCCAGGAAAGAGAGCAAAATCAGGACAAACTTTAATGGGCCCTCTGGATCATGTCCTTTTGGGCCGTACAGTCTTCACCCTTCACTCTTCAGTCTGGACCGATGCAATGGCTCGCATGCTATCCCTTGTTTTCCTCCAAATTCCGAGGCTGTATCACGGGATAGGGCTTCAGGGAATACTCCTTGGAAGGTGGATAATAAGGCCACGTCGCTCATGTTTCAGAGAATCTTGATGACGTGTCTTTTAAATCGACCGTTGGAAGGAGCATTCCCTCCTTTTAGCAAAGGTGTAGAAATGAGTAGGTTCAATTTCGTAATTATCTGTAAAACCGGGGCCAAATATATTGCATTCCATAAAAGAATCGAATACGTTTTTTATTGCCCACCGGACTTCTTTTACCTGTAACAGAAGGTTCCCAACGTATGAGCTCTTTTCACAGCTCCTACAGTTCTACTTATACCACCGAAACAGAGAGAGGGAGATTAAAATCTTAGAAATTAAAAATCAAAATACAGATTTCTATGTAATTTGCCTAACTCATCTGTTTTACTCCAGGAATCTATGCGCAATTCAGTGCAGTTTGCAGGCAATAAAACCGCAGAGAGAGAGAGAGAGAGATTGTGAAAAGTCTCTGGAACTGTAAGCAGACGAAACTGGATAAGGACGAAATCAATATTGACCAGAGACAGTTACTTTCTTTTCTTTTTTTCGTCTATATAAACTCCGCCTTTGTGGTTGAGTTGTTCTCATCCTATTTGCAAGCTCGCACTGTGTTTAAGACAAACTCTATACGTTCGATCTTCTGAGCTTTCCTTGGTTTTCCAGGTTCTTGGACTACAACGGAAATGGATATTCCGCATTTCTTGTTTGGGATTTTTGGTGGGTTTTCTTCTTTGAAATTGAGCTTCGTTTTCTCATCGATCTTCTTGAGCTTCTGTGGTTTTTCATTGACATATTCTTTTGTTATCCTATGTTTCTGGAACAGGGAATGCAACTGCACTATTTCTCTTCCTTGCTCCTACGTAAGCTTCCTCTCTATTTCTCCCACTTTGAATCACTTGTTCTATCGCGAGGTTATGATAATCTGACCAGAAGAGATTCTGAGAGTTCAAGAATCTCCATCTCTTGCTTATGTTGATTCTTTTGAAAAGCCTCCAGCGGGATTTCGATTCGACTCGATTCCATGCAGAGTTGAAATCCTGATATTTCTCTTTTTAGCAGATTCTTTCTTCTTTTAATTTCTTCTGGAGATTCCGTGACAAAAACAGACATCAGCTAATTAAAGATTTATTCTTTTGCAATAAAAACGGCATGATTTCTTTAAACAGATTCTTCGTCGTCGTCGCATATAGAAACGTAGAATCGCTGTCTTTTAACTACAATAATAAAACTACTGATGATTTACTCTGATTACTTTATTTTAACGGTGGTCGTAGAATAACATTTCGTAGGATCATCAAGAACAAATCAACGGAGAAGTTCTCAGGTCTCCCATACGTCATGACCCTCCTTAACTGTCTCCTCTCCGCATGGTACGTTTTTTCTCCTCCTCTGTTTCTCTTCCCAAACAAAGGGGTATAACTGTCATTTAAGACATACTTCGCCGAGAATCATGGATGTCCGGAACTCCGATAGGCTCGTTGCTTCACCTCGGAAATCGGAACAGAGCATTGCCTGAAGTGACACATGACAAATGTGATATGTGACTTTTCGTTCCAAATCGAACTTGGATCGTCCGATCTGATGAACAAGTTGACCAACAGGTACGGACTCCCTTTTGTGTCCCCGCACAACATCCTGGTCAGCACGATCAACGGCACGGGATCGGCGATCGAGTCAGTCTACGTGTTGATCTTCATCATATACGCACCGAAGAAGGAGAAGGCTAAGATTCTGGCACTTCTCTCGTTCGTGCTCGCCGTCTTCTCGGCCGTCGCCGTCGTTTCTCTCTGCGCCCTCCACGGCAGCTCCAGGAAGCTCTTCTGTGGATTGGCTGCGACCATCTTCTCCATCATCATGTACGCCTCACCTCTATCAATCGTGGTGAGTTCCTAACTGAATTCCATTTTGTGATTCCCAGAGTACCCCTGTTTTCAATTTGGATTTACGATTACGATGCTCTGGAAACGGTGCAGAGAATGGTGATCAAGACGAAGAGCGTTGAGTTCATGCCGTTCTTCTTGTCGTTGTTCGTGTTCCTGTGCGGGACGTCCTGGTTCATCTTTGGCCTGCTCGGCCGTGATCCCTTCGTCGCTGTAAGTGTCTCGTGTTAGGTCTTAGGTGTTCTCCCACTCTCAACAATACGATTACTTTAAAAGCTCAGTTTGGATGGAGTATAAATGCAAATACGTAGAGTGCAAAATTTTGTATTTTCTATTATTTTGTATATATTTGTATTTGTATTCCTTCCAAACTGAGCCTTTTAATGGCTATAATGCCCTTTTGTCTGAGCCAATAGAAGGGGACTGTTATGGTGTTGCAGGTACCCAACGGGTTTGGTTGTGCGTTGGGAACGGTGCAGCTGATATTGTACGCAATCTACCGTAAGAACAAAGGTGGGGCCAAGGCTGATGATGATTCAATGGAGATGGGGTACGGTAAGCCGCAGCAGCAAGTAGAAGAGAAGAAGCAAGTGACTGACAAGTAAACGGAGAAGTGGGTGGATGACAGGACTCAGTGAGTCAGGAGTGAGAACCGAGGAGGAGCTCCTCGGCTTCGGATATACAAGTAGTTCATTCACATTTCACACAAATAACCCTCTGATGCGTATCTGGGTCTTGTTCTCTTCTTCTCCAATCAAATCAATGTGTCCTGTTTGTTCCATGTTTGGCTTTTCTGCGCTGAAAATGGATTTTCACTTCTACTAATGTAATACAAAGTAAAATCAGGGTACTGTGAGATTTTAACTTCCAGTTTGGTCCCACTCGGTTTCTGAAGTTCATTCCTTTAATGAGGTGCATTTTTCGACGCCAGATTGGAATCTACTTCTTAAGGGAAAGCTTACATGTGGTGTGTATAGGTTAAATCCACATGACCAAATATGGTCCCCAAGATTCACATGAGGGAATCTTGCCACGTAGGACGGAAGCATTCAAAATGAGTACGCCTTCTGAAAAGAAAACGTTTCGAGTTCTCGCAAATCGAGGAAATTGACCATTTTCTTTTGAAAAATCAATCATCTAGTTATTTTGATTCCACAATCATCAAAATCACCAACCTACAAATTGCACCATCGATCCCGCCAGTTCTAAAGATTAATTGGCACAAATTACAAGGTAAAAATTAAGTACTTCAATAAAGTCCACATATCCAATGATGTAAATCAAGTTTAAACTCCCTTAATCGAACCGAGCGTTCGACCCAGTTACAGGAGATTTTGAAAAGGGAGATGTTTTCACATTGGCCATTTTGTAAAACGGCAACGGGAATATCCGGATCCGGATTCTATTGCAAACTTTCCACGAAAAGAGGTGTAATTAGATGTGATGTGATTGATTAATATACTTATGCTGAATGTTTAATATAGTTTGGTCGATTTTGGGTTGGAGCGTCCAAATAAAATCAATTTAAACGGATTGGACAAATTAATAAGACATATTGAATTGGATCAGTCTTGGGCTCTTGGTTTAATGGTTATTGATAGAAAATAAGAATATAGGTGTCAATGAACCGGGTGTGAATTATCAAAAACAATGGACCAGGTATGGATTGTACAAATCTAAATTAAAATTAATTTGAACAAATTAGATTGTCTAAATCAAAATGATCCAAAATATCCATTGGATTGGATTGGATCTGTTTTATTTGTAATGAATTCATATTGGAGTGGATCGTATCATTTCAATTAATCTCATGAAATGGAATTTTATACTACTTGATTACAGTTTGGATAGCATTTTTTATATGCAGTTTGAATAGTAATTGAGGCTATATATTGTATTAGAGCTTGGCTAGAATTTTGGACATGATAGAATCGGGCCTTTCGTAAATCGACTTCAAGGCCCATTTGGTTTCCAGGAATAGGGGTCTGGAATCAGAATCGGAATGGGCCATTGTGATTCTAAATATTTGGTTGGACGAAATCAGAATCCCCTGCTCATTCCTGGTGGAATGGCATTCCCCCTCCCTTAGAATGAAATCTCATTCCAATTTCCACTTTGATTCCTGTATGAAGCAAACAATGGAAATAGATCATTCCAATTTCGAATCCAAAGGATTATCCACCCTTATCTAAAAAGCCCGGCAGTTGACAGTTTTCATAGTTTATATGTTACAACACTGGTAGGTATAAGTGAAAGTTCAATCATACCAATTTATATATTTTAGTGTACCCTTAAGTTTGTTACAATGCTTAATAAAAAAGTCCATAAATAAGGGTCCGTTTGGTTCATAATCGAAATTGGAATTAAAATCGGAATGGTCCATTCCCATAGTCTGTTTGGTTCAGGAATGGAAATGAGAATTAAAATCAGCAGTAATGGGATTTTATTCCCAAGAGAGGGGTAGGGAATGGCCGTTCCCTCAAATGGGGGAATATCATTCCTGCAGGAATGGAAATGAGATTCCGATTCCGCCCAACGAAATAGTTGGAATCAGAATAGTCCATTCTGATTTCGATTCCAAACCCTTATTCCTGTAAACCAAACAGACCCTAAAACTTTATTTTTATGAGATAGGACTGCAACTGCAAACTGATTTAGAATATTGAATCGGCCAGACAAAAATTCAACTTTGTATGCAATTCTGCTGCCCAGTGCCCACAACCTTGCTTACAATGCTTGTAATATAATGTAAATGAAATTCTGTTACTCCTGCTTGATATAATGTTGGTAACTATTCGAATTCAAATTGAATATATTAACCCCTGGATCCAGAAGAGGTCAAAATTAAGTGGAATTCCTCTTCCGTGACCCAAAAGCGTGCTAGGGTTTTTTCCCTGTTTCTATTTTGAAAAGCCTTTGTCAGGTGATCAAACTAGTCCATATTCTGTGGAGCTATTTTTTGGGGACAGACGAGCTTACTTGGGAAAAAAACCTAACACAATGTGTGGTATAGGACAGTATAGGGCTGGCATGGACCGGACTGAGAAAACAACCCTTTGTCTGATGGACGATACGCAACTTGAGTGTGGCAAAAAAAAGAGTGGGTTATGTAGAAAAAGAAATGAATTAATATGGCAGAAGAAAAGGTGCTAGGGAAACATGGGAAGCATCCCAATAAATGGACGACGCTTGTCCGCCCAGAGTTTTCCAAGGTATTACACCATTTCAATTTGTGAATAACCCTTACCAAATTTGATGTTGCCATCCTGGCCCATGTGGGAGACCCTTATGATGTTGGTATCCCAAATTCCCAACTATCCCCATTTGGGGAGTCTTTCCCTTTCTTTGGACGGTTGCTGTCCTTAGCCCTACGTGAGACTCCAGTCCACTGCCCTTGCCATTGTGGGTACTTTGTCCTTTCCCCGAAGTAAGCCCACCTCAAGCTAGAAGCCCATCATGTATGGGCCCAATACGAGTCCAGCTCGAGGTGGAAGTTCCTCCACCCTAGAACAAAAGGTCAATAATATCTTGGAAGAAAAAAGAACACAGCCCAGCTTCAGTAGGCTTTTTCTACACATACATTGTAATTAGCTAATGATCCCATCCAGATATCGTGGACCAAACCCCAATATTTACGGGTAGAGTAAAAATGACATTGAAGTAGTAAGTTTTAGACAGTGGATATAATTTTAAATAGAATGAATTGGCGAAACCATATTCATTATTCATGTAGCCGATCCCATACAATTGGGATAAGACATTGATGATGATAAAATTTGGTCCAGCCCTTGGGCTATTTTTATTGGCCTTAAAACTAAAGTAGGGACATATAATCCATGCGGTAAATGCTCTTTTTTATTTGACTTACAAAACTATATTTGATTAAATTTGTATTTAAGGCTCAGTTTGGAAAGGAGTACAAACACAAATTCAAACCGATTTCATCCACCATTCTAATTTGAATTAACCAATTAGGAAATAATACATTTTTTGGTGTATATGGGATCCACACACCATTTTATGTGGTACTCAAATATTTAAGTGCTACTTGTTGATGGTTGAAATGGCTTAACTGAATGACTTGTTGATTTATAGCAGTAAATCATTTGATTCAGACATTTCAGTTGTTATCACACAGCCCCTTAATCCCTTTTTCTTTTTTTAACAGGGAGTCCTGGCCATATGCATGAAGCAGAAGCTCTCCTGTTTGAGGGTTTTGTTTATATAAAGAATAAGAAAGAAGAAAAACATTTCTCTGGTCAAGGCCTGACCAGGACCAAGCTGCTCAGAACTTCAGGTGGGTGGATTTGGTTCGATTTGAACCAGAACCTAATTTGACTATTGTAAAAGGATGAAAAGATTAAAGCCTAATGGTTTTATATTGGTTTTCCATAAAATCTAGGTTGGCAATTTCTGTAAACATTCTTTACTTCTTATAAATTAACTTGCTTTCTTTTATATTTAATTTTTTTGTATAATTATTTTTAATAGTGAATGTGATTTATAAGCAATAGTTCCATTTAAATTATCACACTATGGAAAGGAATGATAACTCTGTTTTGATTGATCGATTTCAACATTCAACAGAACAACATCAATTTAATACCCTGTAACCCTACGCTCTTCATATTTTAGTCCCTGGTTAGATGATTCCATAACCCTGTGTTTGGTTTCAAAGAAAAGGTACCGTTCATTTCCTTTCCCTACTTTTTCTTTCAAACCAAACACAGTTTCTTCTACCTGCTACAAATCCATCGTGGCAGGGGCAACTAATACACTGCATAGACTTAATTACTGAAAGGACTGAAGTATCCCCACTAGTCACCCTCCATTTAGTTCTCTGGAAATTCTGCTGGTGTCGAAATCCCTTATTAGATTGCTTCTTATCCTTATATCATACTTGATATCTAACCCTAACGCCCTAACGCAAGGCATTTACACAACTCCTCAACGTGGCCATTGAATGGTGTAAAGACCTGTTCATGTCTGCCACGTTATCTACCCAAGAGATTAAAATAACTCAACAAATCTTGCACTTGGCAGCTTAGGTTGTTGAGTGGCCCAAACGGGCCCTAGATAGAGTCACTAACATATATGATAATGTGCTAGCTAGATATGACTGAAATTCGCCTGTTTTGAGGGACCCAATAAGCCCAAAGGGCCCCTCCATAGTCCATTCTTGCAGAATCAGTCAGTAGGTAAATGCTAGACCAATAACTTAAACCCAAAACATGTTAGAGACTTGAGGTGACGAGGCTATTTGATAATGGTTAAACTGACTGAATTAAACGACTTATCAAAAACAAATGTGTAGTAATCAACCCAATATCCCATTCAGACATCAACGAGCTTGCAGCGTTCTTAATGGCTTTTAAACCAGAGGACAAAGTAAAAACCCATTAATTAAGTTAAGCAACTTCAGCTATCAAGCAGAAAGATAGCTAATTCCTTTTCAGCTGTTTCTTGAGTGAACTCCTTTGGATTAGAGTCTATAAGAAAGAAAACTTTTTCTCTACCAAACCCATTTGCTTTTCTCCACGAATCATTTGTCAATTCAATGCAGTTTGCAGAGAAGAAGCGGGGAGGGTGAGGGGAGGATTCTCATTACAGTAGTTTTGGATAAGCATGACATCAACATTGAATGCCATAAAGCAACTTTATTTGGTTCTTCTGTTCTCTCTTCTGTATAAATACCACCTCAGTAGTTCAACTCTCCTTTCAATCTAGTTTCATTCACTTCTGAACTTGCTTGACCTTCTAAGTCCTTGGACTGCAGTAGTAATGGACATTCTTCATTTCTTGTTTGGAATTTTTGGTGGGTTTTTGTTTCTTTCATCTGGATCAGTGTTTCTCTTTAATTAATTAGTTTCTTTTCACTGATGGGTTTCTTTGTTCTTCTGAGTTTCTGAAACAGGGAATGCCACTGGTTTGTTTCTCTTCCTGTCTCCAACGTAAGCTTCACCCCTCTTTCCCGTTTAATACAGATTAATGAGTTCTTCAGTCAGCAAGAAAACGCAAAGAAGTATATTAACATATCTGCTTTCCTTTTTTCTTTTCTTCTGAAACTCCTGGATTTAAAAAATCACTAACACCATTTTTCATTTCTTCTCTCTCTTTCCTTCTCTGTAAAGCTACAACAGTCTTCTGATAGTTATGTTGCAGGAATTGCTGAACTGCAGAATTTCTATTTCTTTATTGTTTTGATTCTTTTGGACAAACTGTAAAAAGAATCCATGCATTAGCTGAAATGCTGATACTAACCCATCTAGAGATTTCATTTCTGCCTTTCTTCTTTTTCTGTTAATTAACCAATAAATCTATTAATACTTCTCTTTGGTCATTATGTTGCTTGATTTTGAATTATGTAATGGTGGTCACAGAATAACATTTCGTAGGATCATAAAGAGCAGATCAACAGAGCAGTTCTCGGGTGTTCCTTACGTCATGACCCTCCTCAACTGTCTCCTCTCTACGTGGTGAACATTCTGACTGCCATTATTGCCCTTCATTATTTTTGTCTTTCTCCCTAAATACTTCCTTTTAGTGGTTTTCAAGGAAAAAACGGAGGGCGATACAGTCATTTAACTTTTTTGCACCAAGATTTGCGGGCGCTTCCAGCTCCAGCTCCGATGGTTTTGTAGTTTCAGACTATAACCAGTTGAAATGACATGAATAGTCCTGGTCTACATGCAACTTCGGACTAAACTGAAACCTATCGCATTCATTCCTGATCGTCTGATCTAATTACTAAGCTGAATTGGATTATCTTCTCACTTCTCAGGTATGGACTTCCGTTTGTTTCCCCACACAATATCCTAGTCAGCGTAATCAACGGTGCTGGAAGCGCAATCGAGTCAGTCTACGTGATGATCTTCCTGATATTCGCCTCAAAGAAGGAGAAGGTCAGGGTGATGGGACTCCTCTTTTTAGTTCTGACCATCTTCTCGGTCGTGGTCTTGGTTTCACTCTTTGCCCTGCATGGCAACGCCAGGAAGCTCTTCAGTGGCTTTGCTGCTTCCATCTTCTCCATTATAATGTACGCCTCACCTCTATCAGTCATGGTAAGCCCCAGATTCCATTTTGTAATTCCCGTTTTGCCCCTTATTTGTATAATTTATTTACAAAGCTGGGAGCTGTGCTGTACACCGTACAGAGATTGGTCATCAAGACAAAGAGCGTTGAGTTCATGCCGTTCTTCTTGTCGCTGTTCGTGTTCCTGTGCGGGACGTCCTGGTTCATCTACGGTCTTCTCGGCCGAGACCCGTTCCTCTTTGTAAGTCGTAATTAGTTAGTTATCTATCTTAATCACAGGGAGGTTGGTGTAATCAAAGTTATCGACAGCCGTGTGATCTTGATCTAACGGAGCGATGGTATGGTGTGGCAGGTTCCGAATGCGTTTGGATGCGTATTGGGGACAATGCAGCTGATACTGTATGCGATTTACAGGAAGAATGAAGGTGGAGCCGACACAGCAACCAAAGGTGGAGATTTCATCGAGATGGGACTTGGTAAGCCGCAACATGAAGAGATGCAACGGTCGAGGTACAATCTTGCAAATCATGAGGAGCGTCCTCGTGTTTAGACAGGTGGACGGAGGAAGTTTAACCTACGTCACCCTATGACCTATCTATCATCTGGTTGCCTCTTGAGGATTTAGATCAGTAAAATAAGGGGAATACTAGTAAACAACTCGTTTATGCAAATCTTGTATTGCGAAGCATCCAAGAGTTGCATAAATTCGTTTCCCAAAGGAGTTTTTGTAATTTTTTTTTTCTTTTTGTTTTCTCTTTGATCTGCGAAATCATGGAATGCACATCTCAAAATTCAAACGCTAAGGCTCATCCTTTTTTTTGGTAATTAAAGTGATACGGCTCAGTTTGGAAAGAATATAAAATAAATATGTACGGTACAAAATCTTGTGTATTGTATTTGTAGTTTGTAGTTTGTACTGTATAATATTTATATTTTTTTCCTAAACTGAACCTAAACAATTGTGTATTGATTTAAATACAAAACACCTTATATTAGTTTTTCCGGTCCAATGCTGAATCAACTACAAAAATTGAGATTTCAACCCACCATGGTATCAAATACCATTAAAAATGCCAATAAACCAAAATAAATGATAAAACTTAAGAAATTTTACTGGATTGGAGTTTTCTTGTAAGGCTTAGTTTGGAAAGAGTACAAAAGTTTGAAAGTAGCATTATTGCTACCAATGACGTCGAGGGCAATAAGGTGATTTTATTAGTGTTCAAGGCCAATAGGTACGAACAGGAAAAGAGCACACGTCAAAGGCCTTGAATGTTATCCCAAGGGCGAAAGCTCCGACGATTAAGTTAGCCAAATACTTAAAGAAGATTGGACCAAGCAAAAGACGAGGGCTTTGAGTCTAATCCTTAATAGCTAGGAATGATTTTTCTTTTATTTATTTTTTTTCTTTTTTATGTTGAGGTCTTTTTATAGCTAATCTTGCCTTGGGAGTGGTTGAAAACAGTGGTCTGCCAACGCCACATGGTGTGGTGAAATCCACTAAGTATCCCTACATCAAGTACACATACAAATATGTAGAATGTAAAACCCTGTATTTTGTATATAATTATATTGTACATATTTATATTTATACTCTTTCTACAAGACTGTGTTTGATTGCATTGCAAATTAATTTGTATTGATACAAAATTATGACAATGCAAATTATTTGAGTGTAAATTCTAACTTATTTTTGTTTCAAAATTAAAGTATTTTATTGGATTGAATACAAATGAAGTAAATTAAAACACAAAATAAAATAAAATAAAACCCAAAACAAAATTAAAAGAAAATTTACAATCCTATGCATTCATACTAATACAAATAAAATTGCACTGCAACCAAATACAGCATAAAGTTCAGTTTAGGAATACAAATACAAATATGTAAATTACAAAACTCTGTATTTTTGTATTACTAAATCTTGTATTTTGAACTTTGCATATTTATATTTATATTCTTCCTAAAAGGCTTAGTTTGAAAAGACTGCAAATACATGGTTTAAAAATATAATATATAAGGTTTTGTACTATATTCTTTCCAAATTGAGCCTAAATTTTTAGGTAAATAACGGTTTCATACCAAACACTGCCCCTGAAAAGATGCTCCAATGCTAGGTCAGAGAGGTTCCACCAGGGGTTGACCCACTGAAAAGATCAAGTTCGTTCAAAACCAAGTTCCAATGAGTGTTCGGGTCAGCAGTTCATCAACTGCCGGATGAATGACAATTTGGAAGAACTGTGACAAGTGACCCACTGCTGCAAGAGGTGAGGTGGGTGTGATGTAAGGACCAATTTTGTGAGCAGTAAATCTCATTTTTTTTTTTTCTAAAAATCGGATTTGTTAATCATACGCGCCTCACAGCCCTTGTAGCCATAGATGTTCATGTGAGGTGGGGATGTGAAGACCCATATTGTTAGGAGCAAACCCAATAAAGTTCTGAGTTTGTTAGGAGCAAATCCTCTTAATCAGTGCTAATGTGGCATTGTAGGAGTTCAACTTCTTAGTTTAGATTTAATATATATTTGATTTGGTGGACGTTTATAGATAAGTTATTTATTGGTTTAAACGTTTTTTTTTTTACAATTTTTTTTTACTTTGAAAATTTCTTATTTTTCTTGTTTAATTGAATGTTACTTTAAACATTTTTTATTTTTCACCTTATATTATAAACATTAAGGATGTTGGAGGAAAAAAAATTGGCATTTCCCTATGAAAAAAATTTGGCATTTCCCCATTTGCCCATATACATATATCAAGGCATTTTTTTTAATATTTAATATGTAAATGTAACTGCGTTCAGACCCACATAACCAAACATAGCCTTATTCAGCCATGTTTCTGAAGATATCCGATTTCTCGATTTGTTTACAAATAAATCGTTATTTTTCTCTGCCACTAAAACATGATGACAAACTCAAAAAAGTGTTCAGCTAGCTTATTTCACTTTTCAATGTGCACAAGGATCGGCGTTGCTTCAACGCACCCCCCCTAACATCATATTTGTGTTTCTTTTTGATCATTGATCATTCCCTGCACACAAAACTAAGCAACTCATAACTGTGTTAGTGTTTTTTTCATAAACAACTTGGATCATGTCTGCTTCTGCTAAAACGCTGACGTGGCAAATTATTTAAATGCAAAGGCCCAGAAACATCAATATTTATCAACTAGTTACATACATACATCTAAAAATTTTGGCGGTTCTTTTAATATTTTATTTGAAATTTATTTTGTTATATTTACAAAAATTAAAATAGAAAACAGAAGAACATAAAGAACGAAGGCAAAATTCCATCCTGTACATCTGTGAAGAAAGTAAGCAAGCCCAGAAACAGGAAGTGAACGACCCAACCCACTCAGAAAGGTGCTGAGACTACATCTCTTAACCGTGGGAGTTTCAATTGAGTTGCAAAGCACTCAAATTCTTCATCTGAATCCTTTTTTATACTTCTCTTTTGACACGCAGAGCTCACCACCGGCTTCAAACCCTACAACCATGAAACCAATGAATCTGTACAGGTGAATAGCTTGCGCAAATACTTTGTAATTCATTCATTTCCATTAACCAATCCAAAACCATTCATCTCTTAACTCTCACTCAGTAATAACATTCAAAAATGTATATATCCCAGAGCTCTTACCTCTGTGAAAATGCGAATAGCTTCTTCTATGCCCCTGGTATTCAACACACAGAGCGCTTCCTCCTTCAATCAGAAAACAAAATAGAAATCAGCGAAATGAAACAAACCCAGAAAAGAAAAAGCATATATACGTACGAATCGGTTGGTCTTACCCTTGCAAACTGAAGTTGATCTATCGTAAGCGTCCGAGGCTCATTTTCAATTGAGGACTTCCTCTCAATCTGCAGAGAACATTTATCCATTTTTTTCCTCTTCTTTCCTGATATTTTTTACTGGGCTATTTTGAAGTGGTTCGGAGGTTACGTCCAACGTCCTTTAAATATGGGGTTCCGGTGATCAAGTAGATCACGGCTGAGACACGTGAGGAGGAATGGACGGTGGATATTTGTTCGCGCGGCAACATGGGTACGGTGCTATGAGACACGTGGCAAGAAAAAATAATTCCGTCGTGATTTGAGGGGGAAACACTGGGTCAGAGTACGTGATGTGGAGCATTTCCTCGACATCTGGAACATTTGGCCGGTCTACTTTTCCGTGTTCGTTTGGAGCTGCCATGGAAATTGGAAACCAACCCCACTAGGGTAAAGTCGTTTACGGAAATTACCACTTGATGCCACGTCTCATACACTGTTTTCATTCATCCTTCAATTAACGGTTTGGCGGGTAGGCGGGTATCACCTCCTCCTGATGACTCGAGCCGGTTCGGATCAGGTAGGCGTAACGTTGTAAACACGTTCAGTGAGCAATTGAATATTTTTTTTTTACATGTTTTTTAAAATACCCTCAGCCCATTAAAAAGATTAAAATTCATTTTTGACAGTTAAAGTGCTCATTTAATGTGCTTATTTGTATCAACCCGTTTTTAATGTGATCTGCCTTGAGTAGCAAACGGATTCAGAACCGTTTGGGAGGATTTTTTGGATTTCTTGTATTGATTGAGCCGCATCGAAGAAATTATCTAATATCATTGAGGTTTATGTTTTTTTTTTTTTTTTCTGGATCTTGAGAGGGGAAATTTTCTATTAATCAAGATATTCATGTTTTTTTTTTTCCAGTTTATGTAGGGGTCTATAGAAAATTTATTTTCTCTAGGATATGTCTTAGTAATTTTTTCACCTGGAGGAAAAATTGCTAATACTTGAATGCATAAAAGTGTTGATCTTAATAATGGCTTCTTATAGCTAAAACAGTCATTAGTCATTATTTACCTAAAAAATAAAAGAATATAAATAAATGAACTTACCTAGGTAAATGCTTTCTAAGAAATACTTAATTGGATAAATACATTTATCCAAATAAACAACTTCCCAAAATTTGAAAATTTGATTTTATGACTTTTTTAAGTCCAATTTTGATTTTTTAGATTTTTTATCAAATACATTTCCATGAGTTCCAGATTCCATAGCTCATATAACAGTAGAAGCCGCTGCATAAAAGCCCTCCCAAACGGAAACTTAGATCACCAGATTCAGCACAACGAGTAAAGCAAACTAAAATTCGGGTAGTGTAGGATCTTCCCCAATATGATCCAAGTCCAACCCATATTTGTGCCCTCGAACAACTTATGGTTTCCATATCTCACATAAGTAGGTATGAGCTCGACTGAGAAAGGATAAGCACATTAGCATACCCAAGGTGAAGATTTGGGAATAAAGTTTGGAGATTATAGTTGGAGTTGTTTAATCTGTGATATCACGGTCTCTATTATATATATAATTGAAGATGCTACCTAAACTTGTAATTTGGTAATTGGTGAAAAGTGGTGGGGATTCTCTAAATAAACCTACCTACATCTGCAGCTTTGGTGAGTTTTATAAGGTTGCTTAACTCTGACATTATGGTGTTCTTAGTTATACAAACACATACACAACTGACATTATGGTGCACATGAGGCCCACCAGTTATACCTTGGAGAGTTTGTGGTTATGCAGTAATGCAGATTGGATTCTATTTATATATATATATATATATATATATATATTTTATAATGATCTAAATACTCTTATCCGAAGTTGATGGGAACATCTCTTTTAGGATAAATCCATTTACATATCAACTGAACCACCACTCATGAGTCTCCACTACAATCAGCCAAGTCAAAAAGTTGAGGTGATACAATTTTGACATTTAGTCTGAATTAATACACAAAATGTGTGTATTTTAATAAGAACCACCCACCAGCTGATGATGGCTCGGTTGTGAGGTCTCTGGCTAGCTGATTGTAGTGGGGACTCATGATCAAATCCCATTGCCACTATATTCGGGTATGGGACAGGTTACCCCAATTGTGTAGCCCCATGAAGCCATTAGGTGATAAACGAAATAAAAGTGTCACCCCAGCAATCCTAGTCAAGATTGGTCGAGATATTCACAAGACCCATGCAAAAGAAGGCCATTAAAGCAGAAACAGAAGAAGGTCATGAATTCGTTCTTTGATATGTGGCAGCACATTTGGCAGTATGAAAGGGGTCCATTAAGTTTTGCCATCTCATCTCTAAGAACCCATTTTCCTATAGATGCCAAGTTTATTGAGTTAGCTCATAAGAAGAAATTTTCCAAGCGGCCCACATCGGACAGCCAAAGGGGTGGTGGCTGTTCCAACAGGTGTCGAGAAGAGGGCCACAAATCTTTTAGCACCTGCAGTTCCTACAAATGAAAAGGAAAGGCCTCGGGGCACCATCACTCCATTTCCAGGTTTGTGTTTCCTGTGAGTAACCCTGACTTTAAGGTCAATTTTGCCGCCAGGGCTGCCTTCACAAGAACCCATGGCTGCCCATTATGAGGGTATGAAAAGCATCTCTTGATGTGCTTTCATTAGTGAAACATTCCAAAGCTAAGGGTGTGTTCATATCAATGATCAAAGCACATTCAGTAATGCCTTTTTCACACTATATGATTGGGAGTTCACATCTGCGCCTCACATGCATCGGGGTCCTCCGGTCCTGTTTGGGAGAGCTGAAGTTTTCATTAAACTGCTTCAGCTTTAATTGAGTTGTATTGATTGAGATGCTTTGAAGAGGCTACTAAAAATCAAGGTTTTTAAAAATAGATCGGGCAAGGAACCATTTAGGGGTTTGGTTCCTGGGTCGAACGGTCCGACTGTTTGGACCAAACAGACGGCCCATTCTAATAAAAAATTAAAAACAAATAACAGAAAACGGCCAAAAACCATTATCCGGTTCAACAGTTTGACTGTCCGGGTCAACGATTCGCTGATCAAATAAACAGTTTTGGCCAGAAAGCCATTTTGGGGTCAACGGTTCCCGATTTTCTAGTCTAACCGTTTGGTCTGGTCTAGTTTTGAAAACATTATTAAAAATAACTTTATAAGAAATTTGATTTCATAGCTGAATTACAGCATGCATATTCAGGGTTTTTGGGTTTTTCATCAAACATAACTTCTAGGCTTTCTGTGTGGGACCCACTTAGGCTATATTTGATTAGGGAAAGGAAGTGAAATACATGCAGAAAAACCTTTATAAACCTTGTATAAATTTTTTCTACCTTTTCTTACTTTTTCCTTCAAACCAAACACAGTGTAAGGGCCGAATGGGAGGGCTGAAGTGTTGGTGCAGCTGCTTATGTTGAGCTGTTTTGGAGAAACCTTTAAAAGAAACTTCAGCGGAAAGCCATGTTATGGGTTTTGACACAGTCATTTTGGACACTCCGATGAACAGCCTATAAACTATGTTTGGTGAAAATTCGAGGTTATTGGAATGGGCTGTCATTCAATTATTTGAAGGGCTATTTACTTCAACCTCCAGCTGAATTTCATCTCAGCCCTCTCAAAAGGACCCTCACTCACGGGTACTTCCACTGCCCTTGACTTTTCAATCTGAAATATCCCCAGAGGAGCAAATTCTAATGATCACAAGGGTTCATTGTATATAACATGGTATTCAATAGAGGACAGATATAACCCTATTCAAATTTGAATAATACTAGACCCAACTACCCAACTATGATTTAGCTTTTACCTACCTACTTTTTGTGAAAGTGATGGATGGCATCTCTTAGAATGTTTTGTGGCATTGTAGACATATGGAAATCAAACAGATGGCATACTCTCTTGTGAATCTAGTAAAGCTTGTTAGGTGTTATATACTAGAAGGAATTGACAAGGAAACTGATTGGGAATAGCATCATCTTTATCTAATAACAACAAATGGAGCTACAATTGCCTATGTATAAAAAAACAAATTTATTTATATTTTAGTCAAAGAACTGATAGGACTAGAGGTATTAGGGTAGGAGTATACATATTAATAAATGGGTAGGGTATGGTATTAGCCTGATTATTCTCGACTCATATATTATTGGAAAGTATATAAATTTTATTTATTAAGTATTACTTGAATTTAATAATATTTTAAAATTTATGTGTAGGATAATTGATAGTTTATGTGCTTTTTATACATATTAATTAATCAAACAATTAGAAATTCTGATGTTTGGTTGTTTATTTTACTTGTTTATTGCTTATATATAACAAGAAATAATAAGAAATTAGATGTGAATTTTATATCCAATCCATTATACCTTTGAATGTAGGGAGGATTTTGCATTTTCATGTGTGGAGAGGGTTTGAATTCTTAAAATCCAACCCATTACAGGTTTAAGGAGGTAGATAGAGTTTAGAATTTATGAAACCCTCCAAGAACTCGCTATGTTCTAGTGTAAAGTAACTAACTATGGTCTAATTTAATTTAGTTCATAGCTTTTAATATTTGATAGAAAAATGTAAAACCCAATTGGATACTTTAGATGATCAGACCTTTTCTGGCAAGGGAGGGAAGGAATGAAGTGGGCAACCCTTTCCATAAAAAATAAAAAACGATTTACTAAAGGGAAGGGAAGATTAGATTTGAAGGAATCTCATCTATAAAATAAAACATTGTTTTCCATGGCATTTTCGATATAAATAATTCATTTTCTTCCTTTACTTTGCAACCAAAAGGAACCTAGTGAATAAAACAATTGTTTAGCAACATGAGAACGCAATGGCAGATCTAACAATATTGGCCTCAAGTACAACCTTGTAAGTGACGAAGCTGATGGAAGAAAAATGCCACTTTATTCTTCAATTATAATTGGGATCAGATCTCTTAGTCCTATCGTTTAGCAAGGAAGCTGAACAAGCAAGAATAATATTCCACATTGAGAATTGGCTTGGGTCCCAAAGAACCAAATATAAAACCCCCAAAACCCTTGCCACGTGGTAAGAATAAAGGATTTTTTTTTTTGCAAATTCAAATATTAAAATTTAAAACATTAAGCTAGGCCATTGTTATTTGTGAAAAACACTAATAAAAGGTAGAAGTAGAATTGAAGGTTGAATGGGTCATGGGTGACCAATCCAGAGGGTCCCTTAGTTGCTGGATGATTCGGATTTGCCATTTCATGCTTTCACGTGGCAAAAGTAGGATAGGTCGTGTAGGGAAGTTTCCTACCTGACCTGATTAATTAACCTTTTTTATTCTTATAATTTTTTATGAACTTAACTTGAAAAAAGAGCTATTACAAATTTCAAGAAGTAGCTTTGACCAATTTTGTATAAAATTTTAGGGAAGTTTAGATTGCGTTCGCTTCGAAACATGCAAACATGCTTCTGTTTTTTACTTCTTTTGAGATAAAAGAGACAAAAATAAAGCTTCAAAAAGAGCTTAACTATGCTCTTAATTTAACCCCTTTAATCCTCAGTCTAGGGGTGCTTATTTAAGCGTCCCACACCAATAAAGCATTTATGCGTACTTATGTAAAAAAACCCAATAAGTGTTTATTCAAAAAAAAAAAAATACCATTTTGAAGAAACTAAAATTTTTGCCTTATTTTTCAAGTGTTTATTGCCTTTCTGGCCCATCTTGACCCATCACCTAATTTTCAAAATACCTATAGACCACCGTTTGAAACAAGTGCTTTTCACCAAACACACTCATAAGCACTTATTTTATGATAAACACTTATTAATAGGTACTTATCCTATAAACATTTCATTACTAGTTTTATTAAGTTATTAAGTGATTATCTCGACTTAATATGGTATTTAGTTACGGTTGCTTTGTTTAAGGAGCGCTGATTTGACCACTTCATTAGTTCATTTGAATAAAGCCAGCCTCATTCCCTGTGAAAGACAATTATAACCCTATTAAAAGTAAATAAGTAGAGGTCTTTCTGTCTTTCCAAATTACTGTAAATAAGTAAATAATCAATCACCATTAAATAGATCGCCTGATCTCAGTAATATAACTATAACGGTCCAGGAGTGGGGTCCCATTGTCAGGACTGGGATCTGTGGATCAGTCGACGTGTCTTCCAATAATTGTACCGCATCGAATAAATTATAATTGATTAAGCAAAGGGGCTGTACCATCACGGGTACATGATAATCGATTCATTAGGCCGAACAACAGATCGTCCTTGTAATGTTGGAGCCGTTCGATCTGGATGGGTGTTGATAGAGTATGGTAGGCTTCACCGTTCTTGACCACTACAAGTCATGTACGATCACCTTTTTCGTGTTTGGATTCTTAGATCCTGACGCTGAAGTTTCAAAGGGGAATTCAGTTTTACCAATTCTACATTCCAACAGTTTGCTACCCACACCCTGTTTTGTCTTTCTGGTCCCAGCATTGTTGGGCCCCACTATGCCAGGTAGGTTAAATAAAGTCACGGGTCATCGGGTCAGCTGTACCCAGTTCATACTTTATCACAGCTCCCACAAGCACGTCCAAAAAGAGAGAAAAGGAATCAAAGAATCAAAGAAGTCGCGCATGCACCCACCCGGCGCAGATTAGCTTACGTACTTTGCTTCCATTGTACTACTAGTCTTAGTCTACCACAGACTACAGTATCCTCTCTCTCTCCACGTATCCTCCTCTTCTTTCTCTATCTCTGTGTCTCATTTTCTTCACCCAACCGAACGTACAGAGCAAGAATCCAAACTCCACGAGAATCGAGGGAGCAAGAAGTAGGGGGCTCTGAGCGAAACTCCAAAAGCTCAGTGTTCTCTCCAATGTGCCTTCTCACGGATCCAAACTTGACCGCCTATCGTCCTCTTCGACCTACTCTGTGAGGCTTCAGCAATCGTCATTAATGGCGGCTCCGGGCCACCGGAGAACTCTTTCTCGCCGGGACAGTCGAGGGTTCCGGCGTTCTTGGTGTTGTTCTTTTGGCATTCCTCCCGAAAGCCCCGAAAATCTGAGTTGTGCTCCCTCCAAGACGACTCACAAATCTGAGATCCTTTCGAAATCTGGTAATTCGTTCCCCAATTCTCCTCAGAGCAGCAAAAGTGGGCTAGGGTTGGTTGGACTCATCGACCGTCGCCGTATCTTGTCTCCCGGGCGAGTTTCTCCGATCGATTCGGATAATGCACCTGATCCTGTTCGGGATATAGTGCCGGACACTGCTTCTGTTGGTGATAATGGAACTCAATTGGGATCCGAGACCTTTCGTTCCACTGATGAGAAGTTGGTTGCACCAGAGGTATCTGAGGCTTATCAGACTCCCGCGCTTGACCGTTCTTTGAGTACTGGCACAAAAGCCGAGAGTTGTTCCCCGGTGTTTGATGTGAGACTAAGCTTGAAGGGCAAGAACGGGGGTTGCTTGGTCTTGGAATTGGACTCGGAGGTGCTTTCTGCGAATAGCTCTGTATTTGCCGATTTGATCTCAGACTGCCGAAGGGGTTCGGGCAGCCGTGCGGCTGCAAAACTTTGCAGGATTGAGGTTCCTGATGTTGAGAATTTGACCGTCTTTCGTGAAACCATTGAGCTTATGTTTCTGGACGATATCACGAGGCGTCTGTTAAAGATGGGCGTCTCCCGTTCGATTGATGTACTCGAGGTGAGTGTTTCAGAATCTTTTTTCTGCTTTCTTTGTTCTGTTGATCTGTCACTTCTTCAAGGAAAGACCGTGCATTTGGATTCTGTTGAACTGTTAGAAATTTCTATTGAACTTCGAGATTTGCCCTTGTGACCCGTACACTTCTTTTGACATGGTTTGATTTCTTGTGCTCCCATGAGCAAGAAGCACGAGTTTATGTACGAAAATATAGGTTTTATATTGCCACGTTTCAGAAAATTTCGCAATTTATGATTCAATGTGTCTTTAGGAATGTTCTAAGTTGTTAAGTTGGGAAAGGTCATACGTTCTTAGCAACATTAACTGGCCAAAACAACCACAAAACTTTAGATTTTCTGAAATGGATCATTGGTTAGGAACAGGAACTCAAACTACATTACTACTGATATAGAAAGATGGACTATGTTTAACGAAAAATAAGTAAATAAATAAACGAAAGATGGACTAATTACAATAAAATTTTGGTGGTTTAGAGTGTAGGCAAACGGTTTAGAACTTGCATCCAACACTTCTAGCATCATGTCTGGACATTGTATTCTCCCACACCATCAGTAACCTTCTCTGCCAGTGCTTTTTCGTTTCAAATATTTATAACCTTTAACTCAATGCATAAGTCCTATGCTTGCCGCAAGCCTCCTAGCAGGCCTTTCCCCCAAACTTGAACCAGTGACAAAAGCACCTCTCTATACTGTAGAAGTTATGCACTACTGCATGGAGTACAAATGGTGATTCTCCTGGAGTAGCACAGCTTTCAAATGTCAGGGGAAGCCATCTTTACGAAGTATCTAGGAAGGTATTGAAGGGGAGTGGTTATTGAAGGTGACTGCAAAGTAGTGATTTTGTGGCTCAATTCAGAAGCATAACCAGCTTGGTAGTTCAGAGTTTTGGTAAGCGAAGCCAAAATTTTGGGAAAGAATCTGAACTGCTCGTTGAAGTGGGCCCCAAGATCAGCTAACTCCCTTGCTAATAGTTCAGCCCGAGATCGTATCAATTCTCAAGGGTGTAACTGGGGTTTGCTTGGGCCAGGGGTCCATTTGTAATCGGTTAAAATTATCTGTATCTGTTTTGGTGTGCTCAGCTTATAGCTGTTTGATGTACACTCCCTCCTGTCTACACAAGACAGCCTAGGGTTCTTTTTTCTATTCTAATACAACTCTCTTATAAGAAAAGATCTAGGGATTTATTACTTGTATTCTAGGTTTACTCCCACAAAAATGTGAAAGGTATTTCTACCCTATATTCTTGTCTCAGCTATGTGATGTTGCAATTGGATGTTATAACAGGTAGATAATTGTATTCTAGTGATGTCATCATCACCATCATTTAAGCTTTGCCCCAACTATATGGGATTGGCTACATGAGTCCTGTTTCAGGATCCCATTCTGTTCAGTGTCATATCAATTGTTATATTATGAGCCCTTCAATCATTTCTTATCATTTCAACCCATGTCATTTTTTATCTGCCCCTAGCTCTTATAGGCTATAGCCCATTCAACTTGTAATAGATAACTTCTTCTTATGGGTTCTGTAGTCTTCTCTGCACTTGAACAAACCATCTTTGTCTAATTATTCTCATTTCTTGCCTATTGAAGCTACTCCTAGGTTACTTCAAATGAGTTCATTTCTGACCATGTCCTTTTTAAATGTAGCAATGTAAACCATAATAATATAAGTTCTGTATACAAAAAGGTAGGATGAGATAATTAGTTTGGTCCTGATTCTTGAGGATGATTCTGTCAATCCCACTAGGTATTTTTAGTTACTTGTCTTAAATTTTGTATGACTAATTTACTTTCTATTCAAATAGCAAATTAAATTTTGATATGTATTCGCTTTTTCCATCTCAGTTCCCTCCACGGTTGGTCTTTCTGCCCTTTCATTTTATATTTTATGTACTCAATCCTCTGCAATGGGGCTCAACCTGTTTTTGAGGATATCCTACTGAAAGCTTTGGCTTTACATTTTTCAAGAGCCATGCCCAAAATGAAGAAACTTTTAGATAATATGTGCCATAGAGAAAAGCTCTTTTTTTCTTTGCTTTTGGCTTTGCTCCCTTCCAACTTTTACACCATAATCTAACTATTATCTTAAACTTACATATATCCAGAAAGGGGGAAAATGTCCTTCCATCTAACATTGACTTAAACAAGATGTTCTCTTGCCTGGATTCTCTTTGGATTCTGGAAGTAAACCACAGAATCAAGTTGAATAAAAGTGAGGCTTGGAAAGACCTAGAGGCTCTTTAGAGGGTAGTAGGGCACCTCATTTACTTTGTCACCACAAGGATATAAATCTGTATCCAACTATTAGTATTTTTATGCTAGTTTTCATTACAATGCACCATAGTTTTAATTGGAATATTTTTGTTTCAGTAAGCTACAACTAAATATTAAACTTAATGTTTTCCCAATTTTTCAGAATATTTCAGTTTACGTCACAATATTTAAGAATATTTTTAATGGAAATTTCATCATATTCAAAAATAATTAATTTCTGTTGGCAAATTTTAGTTTTTAACAGATTTTATTTTGGATTTTAAAATATTTTAAAAAATCCATTGCACTATTTAACAATCAAAATAATAAAGACCATACTATTTTTTGCCAATATAGATGATATATTGAGACTTTTTTAATGTATTGACTATACTTTAGTTGATTCTAGCAATTTTATTAGGTGCATCTACAGAAGGGGAAATGTAAGCACTAGAGGAAGTTAAGTGATCCAGCTAGTCCTTCCTTGCCTTGATGCCCAGAAAATGAGGTGGATCTTTAATGTAAATGATGCATTGGAAGGAAACCCTTTTGGCAGTGTGGTTATGTTGGTTTATTTTCATTTCCCTCTTGTTCTATTCTTTCCCCCACCCCCAGTTTTTCGTACTAAAGTTTCACTACTGATAACCTCAAAAGAGGAGGAATAGAGAATCTGCTGGCTGCTACATGATTGGTGCAAATGATTTCTGAAGTTGATCTTCCCTATTAATGTCATACCTAGGTGATAGAAGCTTTTGAATTACAGATCCGTGATATGCCACTTTAGAAACTTATTTTTCTATTAACCCTAAGATTCGTGGTAGCAAGAAAGCTAGAGTAGTTTGGAGCTGCATTCCCTTTGCGGTGTGTTGGGGTATTTGGAAGGATTGGAACAGAAGGCTGATTGAAGGCAAGGTTCAGCAGATGGAGAGACTAGTGCTAGTGGTAGATATTGGCAAGTTAATTGTTGATTGGGTGATGGGGCTTCCAGATTTCACACAGATTGTTAGATCAGAGTTTGGGAAGAGGTTTTGGGAGTTGTTAGAGATTGCAAATTTCTGATCATATTTGTGTTTAAAAATAGTTTGTTGTTAAGGTGCTGCCTTAACACCTTTTTGTGGATGCAATCGTTTTCCTATTCATTTTTAACAACTTCTTTTCTTTGCTATCAGTTTTTTTTTTTTTTTTTTGAAAATGCTTCGCATGTTTATCATTCTGATTGGTAAGTTAATATTTTGTTTTCTGAACCGTAATATTAGATTTATACAAAATAAAAAGAGAGAGAGAGAGAGAGAGATTGTAAAAAATGAGCAGTAATTATTATTAAGAGAAGGAAAAGAAAGCCCATCCTGAATGTATATTCAAAACAGCTGTAAAACTTATGGAAATGGCATTTAATTTTTACATTCTTTCCATTGCAATCCATGGATCTTTTCAACCCATCATCTATAGAATGCACCTCCATTGAAATCCATTGCGAAAAGGAAAAAAAAAAGATACTTGAAACCCAAAGCTTGATATCACTTAAACCAACAAAAATAGTATACAAGAGTGGTGGAATTCAAATTTTACTTCAGTAGTGCAGAAAATATCATCTTTTCTTTCTCCATTGAAGCCCAGTTACTGCAAAAATATTTCTGTGGTTTTATATTCCATACATTCAGGCCAACAAGTTCCTTTATGGTCTGGGGGTCTGTTTGCCCTTAATTCTGATATTCTTCTAGAGCAAATTCAGTTTATTAAATTCTTTTTCTGCTTCTCCTGTTGATGGCTTAACATTCCTAAGACTAAGAGTGACGATCTCCATATTGTATCACATATCAGGTCTCAGCAGGCATAGTGTTTACCAAGGGCGTTTTGTCTTGTTTGAAATACCTTGAGGCTGTTCCTTGGAGTGAGGATGAGGAAGAGAAGCTGAAGAGATTGTTTACGAAGTTCAGTTTTGATAATGCAACAGCTAGAGAAGTGTTGGGCAGGCTGTATCCACTGGAGCAAGTTGATTCTGAGCAACATTTGGCCATGCAACTCATTTGGTCAGTCACTAATGGTGCTGATGCTGGTGCAAGGAATGAGCTTAAGTCTTTGGTCAAGGGGCTTTTGTCCAAGAGCTCAGTCTATGAGAAGGAGACTGAGCTCAACAAGGATGATCTGTATGTTGTTTGTCAGAGTTGTATTGGTTCCCTGGTTGGGCTTTTTGAGGAAGCCTCCGATTCTGTTACTGAGAAGCCATCAAAAGAAGATAATGGTAAGCCCTTGATTGAACGGGTTTCTAGGCAAGTTGACAACATCAACTGGCTTCTGGAGATCCTTCTGGAACGTCAAATGGCAGAAGAGTTTGTTGACGTGTGGGCAGATCAAGGGGAGCTGCTGAGGATGCATGAGTTGGTGTCTCCAATGATCAGGTATGAGTTAAGCCGAATATCAGCATGCATATTCATTGCACTAGGGAGAGGGAAGTTGCACTGCCGATCAGAAGCCAGGTGCGCGGTCCTGCAAGCATGGTTTGGGCCAATGCTAGTAGACTTTGGGTGGCTGCAGAGGTGCAGGAAGGGGCTAGAAGTGAAGACGCTAGAGGAAGCCATGGGTCAAGCTCTGCTTACACTGCCATTGAAGCAGCAGCACTCTCTGTTCATGGAATGGTTCCGGTGTTTCTCCAGGCATGGCAGTGAGTGCCCTAATCTTGGCAAAGCCTTTCAAATCTGGTGGCGCAGGTGCTTCTTGAGGGCCCCTGAAATTCGTACCGTTGAATCACGATAGCCTTTCACAAAGCACCCCACTTACCATTTGTGTAATATGGTCTGTAATGTAGCTTTAGAGGCATCATCTAAAACAGATTGACGTGAATAATGTAGAGTAGCTTTTCAGGTGTTTAAAGAGCAGTCAGTACTGGCCTTAACCATTCATTGATGCAAACTAACATTAACAATGAGCTTTAACAATTCATTGACGTAAGCTACCGAGGCGTGCACGAGCATTATCAAGCAGACCCACTTACAGTCAATTGTTGATCAAGAATAGAATGTTACACTTATGAAAATATTCATGAATGTTTTTTTCCCCTTTTCCTTTTCCTTTGGCTCAATTTGGAAGGAACACAAATGCAAATATGTAAGATTGTAAGGTGTAAAAACCTTGTATTTTGAATGTACTTGCAGTTTCTTTCCAAACTGAGCCTTTCGGGAAAAAAATGCTATGAAGACAATCTGTCTGTCTAGAAACACTGTCCAAGAAAAATTGGTTTTATATTCTATTCCCCATTTCATCAGTTATTTGATCCTAATTCACAAAAATTACGATGACCTTGCTATCCGTCCGTCATGGACAGATTACTGTTGAGTCGGCCAACCAAATACTGACCCTAGCTGAGCTTGAACGAAGTCAGCAAAGACCCACCCTTCAACGATACGCTTTTACTTTTCAGTGTTGCAACCACGATTTAATGAAGGCCAGGAATGTTGGTAGGAAATATTTTGGATCTCTGCATTAACAAAAGTAAATGTTGGCTTTGATTGATTCATTTGACTCATTCCTGGTTAGCTGGCTTAGTACCACTCCATCCATTAGTACCACTATCAACCACCGAGGTTTTACCATTGCACACCAAGCAATGGTTTCGGATAATCGCTAAAATTCCTCGTTATTATATTTATTTGGCTACTGAGGAGTGAGAAACATTCCACCAAATTTCCAAATTTAATCCAAAAATTAGATGGTCGATGGTCATCCAACTATACCCTTTTTTGGTACATAAGAATCAGTTAGGTGAAAGACACCATCAAGTGGGTCTCAGTTACTTTGTACATAAAGATAGCCAGGATTTCAACTTGAGCCATTTATAGGTGAGTCCAGGTGTGGCCCAGATTGATTCAGCTGATCAGCGTTGGCTCAGCCCACCAAGAAACTGAGTTTAGAACAAATGGTGATCATCCTTTTCTAATCAATAAAATGCTTAGAAACATGTAAAGTAGAACTAATATCATGCTTATATGTGCAATGTAACTTTGGGTGGAGTAAGAATCTGCCGCAGCCCAGCCCGAACTCATTATTTCTTCTTAAAAGTTAAAACTGTGTCTGGGCCAAGCCTAATAGACATTGCTCCGGGCCAGCACAGCCAAGCCAGGAGGGTTCAACGCTAAAATGGAGAGATGTGAATTTTCCTTTAACAAGAAAAATCACAGTTCCTACAATGGAGCACCCTAGAGAAATCATAGCCCAAAAGATGTTATTGGTCAATTTTTGACAAGTTCCGGCGCAGAAAGAAAAGTTAAGGGATGGTTGTCCTCTGATGCACAGAAAGAAGAAAGCCCTACCAATATACTATAGACTATCCGATTAAAGCAATAAAGCAAACCAATTGGATATATTTGCTAATTGCTAGGTGCTACCCGCATAGGCCGGCAAAGCTAGGGTGACAGGAATCAACTTGGCTGTTATAACAAGTTCCCATGCTTACTCAATGAATAGTTGAGCAAAAGCCATGAACTAATGGACACACACACATTCTCAACTGCCTTGATGAGTTGATTCACATGGGCATCAGCGGTGGCACCAGCTCTTTGCCCAAGATTTAAGCTGTTATAAAGCCAACAGCAGAAAGGGTTGGCGCAGCTTGGCATATAGCATTTTGTATGGGTGTGACACATACTGGGTAACTTGCCTTCACCTTGAGGCGGATGTTCTTGAATGGTAAGGTCTTGTGGCTGGGTCTATGGGACATGTATACACGTATGGCAGTATGGGACCCTCTTAACTTGCCACCTGTCCAATGTATCAAGAATTGGGACCCATCCCACTCCCAACCAGTAGCTAGCAGTAAATGAAGTTCTTACTTCTTACATTGTCCTATTGTGAAAGCTGCTTGTTTAGTAGGTTTAATTATGATAACACTTGACATCATCTATCGACTTATAAGTCTCCGAATTATCACCGAGAATAGGACTAGTTAAGCTGCCGTTCAAGAAAATCAGATTAACCCAGCAAAACCTTGATTATTGCAACTACAGAGTTTGGGCCCAGAATTACCTTCTGAACATCCAAAGCCTCTGTCTTCTCCATGTCTGTCGATGAGAGAACTGAACCCCATCTAGCCAAAACAAATCATCATTAAGTCCGGCAAGAACACCAAAAGATCCAGGTCTGTATCTTCAAAACTCCCCATAACAATTTAACCTTTCCCGCCCCTCGGGACCAAAGATTGAGCCTCATGGAATAGTTATTACAACTTCACTTTTTCTTTTCGACTTTTATTTTATGCTTATTAATAATGACCCATCAAAGGAATGCAACAAACAATGACCTTGACCATTCTAATTTTCCACTAAAATTTGGTAACTTGCCCCGGTATTTGGGAGAAATACTTTAGGGAGTGTCATTATTTCTTTTTGTTTGACTTTCCTTTTCTTTTCTTTCTTTTTAATCCACAATAACAATAATTCCATTTGGTTTTAATTTTTAAATCAAGTCGTTTTGCATCATTCAAACCATATCTTCCCCTTTCTTCACAGCCTTGAATGAGTCTCTGTTTTCTAATATTAATATAAAAGAAATTGGGGTTGCTGACTTGGTAAAAAATTTGGAAATAAAAAACAATGAAAAAAAAAATCAGCATGATCTTGATCGTGGTGTAATGGAATCTGTTGTTTGAACATACAAATTAAAACATGTTTTATGATTCACCAGAATTGTGTTCTGGTGATCGTTGGAGACAAGCTTCTCACCTATATTAGCTACTCGGAAAATCTTATTTAGCAACAAATCATCGATGAGTTCAGAGAGTTTGGTATACAAACGTCTATCAAGAAGTAAATGAGGAAGTGACAGGCAAATCAATTCAGTGAGTAGGAACTGACCAAACATCAAATGGTAGAGCTCGGAGCTCTCTATCTTATATGCAAGACCCCAATGCTCCACGAAGTTTGAAGAGTATTGTTTGTTGCAAGGAAGGATCACCAAATGGTAAGAGCTATCTATCTGCGGTGAGAGTCAGAGAGGAGACCTACTGTAAGCATTGAACCATATGAAGCCCCCATAACTTGTGCTGGAAAACTCCATTATTTTCAACTCTGGTAACACCAGTGGAGTCCACCAAACATGAGGCCCAGCTCTCAAGTAGATCAATGGTTGAGTGCTCTTCCCCAGATGACTTTGTTTCTGCAAGTCAGGCTGTGCTTGGCTTGCTCATCCATAACTTTTCTTTATATGGATAAGGCTTGCACAGTACAGATAAAGTTGGGTTGGCTGCCTAACAGATTATGGACAAATTTCGTTGCTGTAAAAGGTCATAGGATACTAATAAGAGTCTAATGGTATGGTCGTAAAAAAGTTGTTTTATGTTGGGTTTGGAGAGTTCTGCAGATATTTTCTGAACTTAGTTAAAGTTAGAATCTGCACAGATATGATTTTAAAACTTCAATACGGAAAAAGAGTTTTCATGGGATAAGAGAAAAGGAGTTTTCATCTATAACTTTTGCCCATCTATCCGGATAATAACCAGTAACCAGCCTTTTCTCCTTGTATTCTGCCCAACCAAGGAGAAAAAGCCTTATTTTCGGGAGAGTCAAATGCAACCTTACAAGAAACATTACTCAAGTTTGTTTTTCAACTTATAAACATTATTATTCCAAGTCAAAGTTCAGAAAGAATGTTGCAGAAAACACTTGATCTGAGATAATGAAATATGGAAACAGGTTTGCTAGTCAAGATGTTTAAGCTATGTTTGGTTTGATAGAAAATAAGAGCGAGCTATAGGAGCTAAGAACTTTTCCTTAACCTTCTGTTTCTCTCTTAATTTTCTATCAAACCAAACACAACATTATGGAAGTTTAATCCCTATACCAAGGATTTTTTTCATATGTTAAATGAATTTGGATTAGAATTTCAAAAAATTGCCAATATTACTCCCCCATTATTCTATATTCATGGGTCAATTTCAACTCAAAAGTTCTTGTCATGTTCTCAGAATAAAACTTTTTTTAAGTAAACTTTGTAATTAAAACTGAGGGGTCAATATTAATTGAAAAAAAATTGCATCTCAATACAGAGTGGAGTGCAAGGGTGATGTGGTTAGAGGGTTAAACATGTGGCAACTTTAGAGGGTGGAGAGTTTGGATGATCAACTGCACCATCCACCCACATTGCAGAAATAGAGTTGGTCGTGCAGAGAAGCTACTAGGAAACCTTTTCCCACGAGTCATCACTATTTGGATAATCTAATTCATAAAGGTGATACAGGGGCCCACTTAATGGACGGTTGGAAGCAATAAAAGGACACCTGAAAACCAGCATGAAGTGAAATCATTTGATACTGGCACTCTAGCATTCAAATTTACAGGTTCATCATATAAAATTGTCATGGGTAGAAAAGAAAAAACTTAAATTTAGATCATTTCCTGAAGCCTTGAAGGTAGCTGTTTGGATAAGCTTTTGCCTTTATGCTGACCATTTGCTAAAATTTACTTCAGAAAACATTATATTCTGAAGTCAAAATACAAGCCCCAAGCCACAAAGCCTAAAATTGGGGCTTTATCCTGATGCTCATCCAAGCACAGCCTAATCTGCATACAGGCCAACAGGGGGGTGCAACTTCTGCGGGATTGGATTGAAGATTTGTTAAATGGGCTCAGCCCAAAGGCCAAAACATGATCTTGTGTAAATTCTTGCCTGATTTGCAGCCACATCTGCAAACGCCACAGTAATTTGCACTGAGTTATTTGTTAGTTACAAAGTTAAACCAAGTCCCACTTTGGTAAAGTCCACATCCAACTCCAGCACTCGGTAATAAAAACCCAAATGTGCAACCTTTGACAGCAGACATTTAAAAGGAAAAAACATAAAGAAACATTTTTGGGTACTTAGGATTTGGGTTTATATTAATGTTCTTGCAACCTGATAAAAAGAAGAATTA